AGCCCCTAGTAGCTTCTTGCTACTAGTAGTACGGCCAGGAGCCCCTAGTAGCGTCCATCCCTGCTATAATGCCTCATTTCCAAAGACATGACAAAGAACATCCAGTTCAAGGGACGTCAGTCAGGAAACTTGTTGCCATGCCGCTTCAACCACGTTGACCACATCAATATATGGTTGATGCTCCCAAAATGCCAGGTCTATTGAACAACAACACTATTGCCTCGGATTTCATCTGAGTCAGCGGTCTTGGGTATTCGACCACTAATCAGCCATCGTTTGATCGGTTTCTTCCCAGGTCCTGTCCTCGGTGTGCTCATCTTCGTCCGCGTCCGCGGCGTCTGCAGCTTCGCCCGGGGCGTCTGCGTCAGCAGTCTGCTCTACATCCACTTCATCTACTTGAACCTGGCAGGTTTGCGAACGCCGACACCACATCCCGAGCGCAACAAGGAACACGTTAGTTCCGCACGAGACACACACCCTGAAGCGCTGTGAATTGACGAGGTCGGCGGATCGGTGTCCTCATGAGGCACATCTGCGGGTCTGCGGATCGATTTCCAGGAATAGAATTTGGCCACTATATCGCTCACAATCCATGCTCCATACCTGAAACGACGGCGCCGGCTTGCGCGAGGCCCAACGACCCCAACGACCCTTTTGGAGTGCGGTAGAAAAACGCCTTCCTTGCAGCTACGTCACAGCAAAATGCAGTGGAAGACAGCAATGGAGCAAGCTGAGGCAAAGAGGGTGCTTAATGCAGTGCTCAAATCTAGCTTGGTGAGTGGCGCGATGCAAAGAACCAACGGGATCCTTGGTGTGATACATGCATGGGCAGGCCACTCTCACCCATGGAGGCAGGAGAAATCACGAGAAGCTACGCGGCCACAAAAACAAAATATTTGTATATCTCCATTTTGCATCGTCTCGTTCCCAGTCAAAAGCCTACTTGCATTGTTTTTTTGGGGGGCTCGAAGACCACCGCTCTCGCTGAGATACTGTAACTGTTGCCGAACTAGATCTACAGCAAGCTACTCACAGTGCAAAGACAAGGTTTTCCGCAAGTGCGTAGACCGTTTTTGGATGAGAACACTCTTCCTCCAGAGTTCTTGGGCCATTTTCATCTACCATCTACCTTGTGTGTATTTGCCTGTATAGTTACTCTGGGCGTGAACTCCAGCAGCCCCCTCTTAAGTCATGCCTATCAGGGATGCAGCGCATCATGACAGCAACATAGTGCGGCCAGGACAGCTTACTTCCTTGTAGCCGCTCAACTCAAATTGAAAAGAGTGGCTTCTATAAAGGAACAGTGTGTTCCTCTCCTTGCAGGTGGAGCTCTTACACTACTATAGTAGCAAGAAGCTAGTAGGTTGGAGGCCATTGCTACTAGTAGCAAGAAGCTAGTAGGTTTCAGCTTGCAGGTGGAGCTCCAAACCGCTTGCTTCCATCGCCCCCATCGACATGGAGCACCAAACTGCTACGTGCCAGTGGCGGGCGACATCGATCGGCAACAGCGACACGGTGGGACGGCATCCATCTGGCGCGTGAGCCAACCGCTATTGGTCCACGTCCAACACACAAAGCATAAAGCTATGACTCATGGGAAAGGGTGCTTGGATGCTGATCAAAACCAGTTTTTGAGACTTCCATGTGAGAGACTGGTCGTTTCTGAAGAATACTTGCAAGTTGCCCAGCAGGCATTGGGGCCACTTGTCCAATCCCAATTAACCACAATGAGTCGGAAAGTCACGAGCCGAGCAGAGCGAGCAGGTGACGCCAAAAGGGATGTGGACGCATTGGGCAAAACGCAGGTCAATAAATCAGGAAAATCAAGAACATTTAGCCACCAGAACATGCATCGCAAGATCCGGATTTGTCCCCCCAAAAGAGTCTCTCCTGTTCCCCCACCGGCGGCGTCACAATTCGGGCAAACTTTATCAAAGCGTCAAAGCAGTGTAACTTGACCTTCGCGTTTGGATCTTCTGGATGTGACCCATTTCATGTTGTATGATTCATTTTAATTATGATTTTATATCTACAAAGGAATCCTTCTTCAGCCTGGGGGTGTTCCTGCTCGTCTTCCTGGGTTCTTTCTCGGAGCCCCGTGTGGCGGTTGGTCCGCCGATGTGCCGTCCCAGGAGCACATCCAACGTGCCATAGAGCAGCACTTGCACTGCCAGGTCCAGCCACCAGCGTTTGGAGCCACCTGTCTGGCGCGATCGATCCGAAAAAGGGGGAATGATGACAAAGACGGGAGGCAGCCTCCTTTGGGGAGGCCAAATGACAAGGCTAGCCTTGGGGTCAAACAACTGCGAACAGTTATGTCGAGTTCCTTTTGGATGCTTCAAAAAATATTAGAAGATCACATCCAAACAGGTGTCGAGGCTCCTGTCGAGGGTGTTTCCATTGCATGATAATTGTGTCCATCCTCAGGTTGATTGGCATCGTTAACCCAAAGGGCCAATGAGTCAATGAAACCAGGAACACCCAAGAACATTCAGGAACCAATGGTTATGAAATGCTATGAAACACTGCTTGGTCCCTCTTTTCAGTGGTAAGACCACGCAGTCAATGACACCTCACCTTCATAGACATGTTGAAGCTCTTAAACATGACACTGCAAACTGACATAGACCGTAGACCCCCAGAACTACCGTTTGTTGAGAAAAAACATCCTTTCGTACGGTCTAGACTGTTTACTGCGTAGGTGCCCGGTGGTCTGGATTGCAACCTAAATAACCTAGATAATCTTAGGTATCTGCATTTTTGTGGTGGTGAGTCCCTCCTCCATTTTTTTTTTAAACCAAATATGACCGAGGCACTATGCAGCCAGTCGCGGGAGGCCATATGTTGTGCAGCTGTTATTGCCTTAAAACAAACATACGATGCCTTCGACAAATGCCATGCTCAGGTCAGGTCAATGACCATGCTCAGGAAAATAGTCGAACCAAGATCTTTCCAAAAAAACAATTAATTATTGTCATCATATGACAGTTTGCCAACAAAAGCAGAGGATGACACCACCCCCAGCACAGCAGCCACACTTCCAGGAAAGAGACCTGGTCTGAGTCAAGCATCAGGCCGGGGGCGTAGCCTGTGCAAGGAAAAACGATGCACAGGTGTGTGTAAATTCATGCCAAGTGCCCCCAGTAGCACCAACCCGCCTCCCCTCCCAGCCGCCAAAGGAATTTACATGCGTGCACCCTGTGGTTGCGCACTTTTGTTCTCCACATTGACGAGTGGGGTTTTTCCCCACCTGCCAGGTGAGGGTTGTTAGATTTTATCACAGTTGTTCTTCCGCTTCCTTCCTTCCTTCCTTCCTCGCCAACCTCCTCGCCAATCTTCATCGCCAATCTTCATCGCCAATCTTCATCGCCAATCTTCTTCGCCAATCTGCTTCGCCAATCTGCTTCGCCGATCTTGTCTGGCAAGCTCAAAAAAGCAGTGTGCACCCCTGGACCTCAAGTGCAAGGATCCGATCGCAGTGTGCACCCCTGGACCTCAACCGCAAGGATCCGATCGCAGTGTGCACCCCTCAACCGCAAGGATCCGAGCGCAGTGTGCACCCCTGGACCTCAACCGCAAGGATCCCCTCGCAGTGTGCACACCTGGACCTCAACGGCAAGGATCCGATCGCAGTGTGCATCCCTGAACCTCAACCGCAAGGATCCGATCGCAGTGTGCACCGCTGGACCTCAACTGCAAGGATCCGATCGCAGTGTGCACCGCTGGACCTCAACCAGATAGTTTGCCAGATAAAGTGCCAGATAGAATGCCAGGTAGATTACCAGATAGAATGCTGCAAGAAGATATGCCAGATAGTATGCCAAATAGTGTGTCAGATAGATTGCTAGATACATTGCCAGATAGAATGCCAGAAAATATGCCAGATAGAATGCCAGAAGGTATGCCAGACAAAATGCCAGATAGTATGCCAGACAGTATGCCAGATAGTATGTCAGATAGATTGCCAGATAGAATGGCAGATTGAATGGCAGATAGTATGCTAGATAGTTTGCCAGATAGAATGCAAGAAGATATGCCAGATAGAATGCCAGGTGAAACACGGGGATTACTTGAAGCAAGATAATTTGTTGGTGCTTTGCTGAATTCGATTTGATCCTTTGTATATTGAATGTCATGGTGGGGATCACTCGAAGTAAAGTAATTGTTTTTAGTGTTGTATCCGCCCGGCCTCCTCCTTCCTCCTCCCACCAACCAACCACCAACCACCAACCACCACCACCAACTACCAACCACCAACCACCAACCAACCACCACCAACCACCAACCAACAATTGTTCGCTCCTGTGTCTGAAGTTGTTAACATGTGGGGTTATCCGGTCCTATAATTTTTTGGAACCTTTCTGCTGAGAAGCTTGAGCTCTGAAACGAGCAAACGTCCCTGAGCACTGAAGAAAATAACTCCGAACAAGCCTGTCAGCACTTGTCGGTAGGTTCGAAAGGTCTGTAGCTGCCACGCATCCTGGCAAAGTGGAGGCCGCCCAGGCATGGCCCTACATGTCCACTCACACCCGAATCACACCATTGGACGTAATGAACATGGACATTTCAAAATTGTTTAAGAGGTCCTCTTAACTGGTGGCCTCGGCAAAGCGTCGCCCGGAGCCGGAGGCCATGTTTCTGGTGAATATCAATGCTGAACAGATTTGAACAGGAATTGCAGTATATTGGACCATATTGGCCCTTATTCGACCCCAAATTCGAGCGATGTTCGAAGAGAACACAGCTTGCGAACGGAAGCTCCGTTGGCCGTTCCTCCGGGGCCGTAGATGTTTGGACCGATAGCACCTGAGAAGTCGTCAGTGATAGTCACTGACTGATAAGTCATTCCTTCCACATGAAACTCCGGACTATTAACTCAAAGAAGTACAAATAGAAGAACCGACTTCACTGGTTCAGCTTTGAACCAAACTCTGCGGTCCTTGAATACTCTAAAATTGCAAAAGAATGCAAAAGATGCAAACATGTAGAGAGAGAGAGAGAGACAGAGAGAAAGAGAGAGAGAGAGAGAGAGAGAGCGAGCGAGCGGGCGGGGGACAAGAAAGGAACTCCTGGTCCCAATGAAACGAGCCCAGCCCGACATGCAAAAAATCAAGACAGCTGAGAACCCTTGGCGAACAAAACCAAACACACCCCATGAATTCACCTCCTGAACCCTTTCAGGGACACTTTTGGCGAGGAATGGGTCCAACTCCAGCCCGTTGCGATCGGGAAGTCGAGTCCTCCACTAGCCACAGGGAACAGCGCACGAGCTCTGCCGAGAGCTGAATCACGAGCCACGAACGTGTCAGGACCTCGAGGTCCGGGAACACGAACTGGAAAGCGAAGGGCCTCCAACCTAGAAGCGGTGGCCTCCACCCTACTAGCGATGGCCTCCAACCTACTAGCAATGACCGCCAAGGAAATGTGGAAAGCGATGTGACCATCCAAGTGATCCTCTTTATTTGGTTGGCAAAATGTGATTGCATCCAAAGGAATGCTGAACATCAAATGTCATTTCACCGAATGCCACCCAGCCGCTGCCAAATAAAATCCCAGAGACACCTCCCGAGCATTGGTGCCCGCGTTGCTGTTCCGAACTTCTTGGAACCAACTGATGAACCAAGCCAGAATCAAATTGCCACTCAAAGTCCTCACTGTCACTGCAATGGGAGACTCTGCAGCGCGAAAGAACTTCATGCAGTGGAACAACAACCGCTGTAGCCTTTCATTGTCACACCCCAAACCAATCGGCAGAGCCTGCTGAAGTACTGACTGGGTCTAGCAAATGCTCATTTTGCCTGCATAGGATCATAGGATGATCAGCCAGGATCCTTTTTGAAACGGCAAAAAATCACAGCATTCACCCAACCTCGAGGCTTCGCAATGAAACCAGCAATGACACCAGCCAAGCATCAATATACTTAAGGCCGCAGCGAAGAAAACATATGTATGGTAAGCTGCCAGCAAACTGAATGCCAAAGACTTCCTGACTGGCATGCTTCTTGTGGGAAAATGTGTGAAACCCTCAAAGAATGATCGTCAAGACTTCGCAAAACTTCCTCTAGAAGGCCCATCAAGGTACTGTATGGTACTGTAGTACTATGTTCCAAACAATCAAAGCTTCCCTGCATCACCACACTCACTCGGCTTGCACAATCAAAGAGACCCCAAGCTGAGGTGTTCCTGATATTTGCTATCTCACAGGACCCTGGAAGATGAGAGCGCCCCGATGGAAACCATGTGAAAACACGATTTCCCAAACGTTTAGCTCGAGCTTCAAACCCACAAGGAAGGCAAAGGCTTTCTTGTTGCAAAAGTAGACAAAACATGTCAAGAGTCGGATGACTCCACCAGTTTCATCGCTGGTTGATCCAATCAAGTCACCAAGTCCATATTCACTCAAACTGACTCGACCGGCGCCGACTTCACCGTCGTCTTCCTATGAAGGAACCGAGTCATCCGACTGCGCCGGAGTGACTGGAGCAGCATGATCAGCGGATAAACCTATCAGCCGAGAGTCCTGAGATACCCCTAGTTCCTAGTAGTATGGCCAGGAGCCCGTAGTAGTAGGGTCCTTGCTCCTAGTAGTAAGGCCAGGAGCCCCTACTAGCGTCATCAGCCGAGAGTCCTGAGATACTCAGTCTTGTAACCTTTGAGCACTTGATGCCGGGTTGCCGCCCACATCTCAGAACACCTGTGGGAATGTTTGGCAGCTGATGGGAAGGGCCAGCACGCAGTTGATGGACACAGATTCTTGAGAATTGTGGAAAACCTCCTACCCTACTATCTAATTTCTATATTCTTCAATAGATGTTGCTCAATTGTCCATCAAATGTTGCAAGCCAGTTGGCCTTTCGTGCCATGGCTTTTGGCCTGGCATTCTGGAATTCAGCAAGCTCACCACAACCTCAACCAACCTGTACGATAGGTCAAAGAACAACACCGCCCTTCCCTTGGTGCTCAGGTGCGTAAGCGACGCTCTCTCCAGCCTACGCACCATGCCTTTGTCAGGCGACCTTCATTCCAGCGTCATCCAGCGTCATATTTCGCCCCATCACTGGGGAACCCCCTTCCACGTCTGTGGGGCAAGCACGGGCAGCTTGTGGCTTCGATGTTTTTCTTTGGGTGGTGGATTGGCTATGGTGCTCTTATGGAGCTTAACATCTGCATGTTGTGCATGCTCAAAGGGAACACTTGAACACTGTTCACAAAATGAGTCTGGACGCACCTGAAATCATGATGTTTGTCTCGCTGACCTTGTCGCCAGGACACAGCACCTTGTGGCTATCCTCTCTAAGCCAACAAACTGCGTGCATTTGATCCCAGCATTGCCAGTGAACCTACAAAAAACCAAGGAGAATCCTAGAATATCCAGAAGAGGGTCCTCACCCCCATCACGCCCCAAAGCAATGCAATCCCTGGAGCGTCAAAGAGCATCCACCACAGAAGCAACAAGACAAAGAACCTATGCGACAAGGAGGTCAAACTATGCATATGTCATGATCTTTCAATCTACTCCACGCTTATGACTGCCCAAATATAAGCTGCAACAGCAGGCCGCGCTGTCCGAATCAGCTCCACATGAAATCTGCTGCACGCACACACAGAACCACAGAAGAATGAGATTCCAGGAGCGGTGTGAGAAATGTAGGAGACTAGAATGTGATGTGATGGTAGGGTAAAAGACTCCAAACTATGGTACCTTGCTCCATTCCCCGGAGTGAACCCTTCCCTTGATTTTGTGTGTGTGTGTGTGTGTGTCGCCAGTCGGGCTGCGTTCCACGAGTGTGAACTGACCATGTCGGGCAACACCGCTTCATCAACTTCGGACAGGTCCACAAAAAACACATGAAGTGAATGGGGCGACATTGGTCCAAGCGTCTGAAGCCTTCTTTTCTGGTCAGGATCGGCTTCCATCAGATCCGGCTCATCGATATGTTCATCCCCCCAATCCGCCGTGTGCCTGTATCACCAGGGCCAACAGCTCCTGCTGGTCGCGCAGGAATATGCCCAGCCAACATGGAGTGACGTGACGCGCCACGAAGTCACCTCTAAAACATCCAAAGACATCCAAAGACCAAATTGATCCCCACGTGGTGTACTAGTTTTGGGATCCCCTTTGACTTGAAAGTCTTTGTGCGCAAAAATAGGTTGACACATCTTTTGCTCTCATAGCTTTTCATCTTGCAGCACCACACCGGCCTCGCCGGCTGCTGTGGTACAAACTATGGCCAAGCTGGTGAAGAACACTTGAAACACGGAAGTCAGCATCGCGGAAACGGAGAATCGTCTGCAGAAGCAAGTTGTGTCCCTTCTAAGACCTGCGCGTGCGTTCCTCTGTGGTAGCCAAGGAGTCCTGGAGTCCTTTATGTCCATCCCTCATCCCCCCATCTCTGAGCCGGGCTCACACAGCAAAAACCTCAAAATAACCTCCACTTGCATCACGGGGCAGGTCCTGGTTGCACAAGTGCAAAAACTCAGGTGCCGCCTGTCAGGGCGGTGGAAAGCACTTCGACATGTCAGGCGGGAGGGATCCGTAGCATGTCGGGTGAAGTACAACCGGTCCGTGACGCCGCATCCCAACGAAGCCGCAGTGGCCATGTGACCCGATGGACGATGCATGGAGACCACAATGCATGCCGCTTCGACCACATGTGTTGCTCAACGCTTCCACAAGCAACCGACAACTCAACACTCCAACACTCCCCAAGGGACATGGGCGCGCTTGTGCATATCAAGAGATTAAATGAACAACACCTCATGAGGTCATGAAACATAGAGTCCAAACCAACAGTTCCTGCAAAGGCGCACGCTCGGAAAATACGGCTTAAACCTACAAGTACGATGCAACTTAAGTCTACACTGCAGTAGCAAATCACAATGGGCGCAAGAAACCAACATCTACAAAACACATCTTAGCTATAGTTTAAATTTAGTAGGGCACCCTCACTGCCCGGCATACCATTTCAAAACAACTTTACATAAGCCCGTGCGATTAAAAACACTAGCCCAGAAAAGCGATCTGATAAATAAAGGAACCTTCCAGTGTGCCCATGTGCTGCCAACCGATGTGGTGCCCGGATTTTGGTCGTCCAAGCCACACACACACTCTCTCTCTCTATCTCTCTGGGAGCCGCAAGCCCAACGATCTCGAGGTTGAATGTGGCAAACTCTCAAACCAGCCTCCCCTTGCAAGAAAAGTGTACGAAGTGGCAAGAAGACAAATATTCAAACCTTGATTCTCACAAGTTTGGATGAATCCTACATTAGACATATCCACCCAAACGGTGGAGTGAAAAAAGGTGAGGCTGGTGAGGGGAGTGGTGGCAGCAACTCTGTTTGAGAGGTTGCTGGTGGGCCACTCAAGGGTCTAACTACACGCACTACACATGTATCGAGCCAAGGCTGCGGCGACACACACACACAATCACACACACACACGTTTCACCGTTGCAAATGCACGATCTCTGAAGGCTGCGGAAGAGGATCTCGGCTTCCAAGACATGGAGATGTTACTAGTAGTAAGGCACTTGTTACTAGTAGTAAGGCACTTGTTTCTAATAGCTTTTTGTTACTACTAGTAAGGCACCTGTTACTAGTAGCGTGGCACCTGTTACTAGTAGCTTCCTACCCAAGGTGTTCAAGGAAGTGAAGACGGAGATGAGGTTTGATCTAAGCTGCACTCAAGAGATGCGAATCCATTGATTGGTTGGGTGGCTTATCATTCTTGGCTATGACATATAATAGTGCAGTGACATACAACACAACTTCTGCAACATCTGCAAGCTGAGTCGGACTCAAAGCTGCGTAGTGATCCCCAAACAGTCAAAGATCTGCATCCGTCCTCTGCACGCCTTTCTTCGAAATGGATCAGCTGAATCGAGCCACCTTGATAAGACTCTGCTGCGGTTTGGGTGCGAAGCCTGAGAATACTGGCGGAAGACCTGCTGGGCTTAAAGGATCCCAATCGTTGCACAAAAAACAACAAGCGTCCTCCAAGCAGTAACCAACACAGTCCCTTCATGTGGCTTTTCTACCTGCTTCATTTTGCAGCAATTGAAAGAACCAAATCAACTTTGAATAAATAAACTAACTGATTGGCTGATCATTGCCTAAGTCGATATGCCTAAACTCAGTGGTTTCTTGCTCGGATCCTTCAGGCCCGTTTGGACGTACCGTTTTGGACTCAACGGCTTTCCGCTCCGGCACAGATCATGTTTTTAGACCATGACGCCCGGCACAATCTGAGTCGACATGCGAACGAACGAGCGAAACATGGGGGCCTCTCTGGCTGGCGACATGATCCCTTTAATGTGATCTATATACAAAGGCGTTGTAAAACGCCGCACGCAGGCGCACTCACTTGATGATCAAGGGCTTGTTGTATCTAGACGTTCTAGCGGAACCTCAGCACGGAAAAGGACGCCATGTTCTACATGTTCTAACAACTTGGTCCAATTACCAAAACAGCTGAATCCTGAAAGTGTGGAAGAAGCCATGGAACATGTGAAAATGTGCACAGCTTGCTGAGGGTTGCACTGGGGTTTGGATGGACATGCTCCAAACATAGCCTGACAAAGCAAGCGGTCCCGGCAGTAATTGGGGGTTGGACAAGTTTTCAGTATGTTGCTGTTTACCAAAGCAACATCTCACTCACTTGAAGTATTTCCGCCCAAAAAACACTTACTTCCTGGCCAACCTGAGCTGCTCTACAAGTATGATGCTCTATGGCAAAAACAACATCACTTGGCCCTTCAATGAGAGCAAGCATCCACGGTCAAAGCCTTCGATTATGTAGTCCAAAAAAGCCTGATTGTCTTCATCAAAAGGCAAGTACGCGGGCTGCCTTAGCCTTACCTGACTGCGTAGTAAGGAATGAGGGAATGACCGTCTTCATTCCCTTCTAAGCACCAATCAGTTACCGGGGGTGGGGTGTGCTTCCAAAGAAGAAATCCCTCATAACCAGACTTCTCAGAAATTTTATGAACCTCCACTCCGTCCGTTCTTTCCCTCCCGCACCCCCCATTCAAAGACACACGGGAAACTCCGGCCGAAGAAGCACAGAAGCCCTGACTTCGCCGTCCTGACTTCCAGTCCATTTTCGGACTCCAGAGTCTCGTCATCTTTCAAATGCTGTCGCCCGGACCTCACAGCGAGGAACACCGGAGCACTGGAGACGAGATGGACGAGTCCACACGCGGATGGACGGGTCCACGAACAGCGCTGGGAACATCGCACACACAACAAACCTAAATACAAATTACAATACACAAACACAACACATGCATCCATCAAGTGGTTCTCTCATCTGACCCATCTACCTTCAAAAAAAACCTTGGGGTGACGTCGCGAGTCGGGTGCCTCTGACCAATGCGGACCAACCTGCGGTGCGGAAAGCGGGCAGAACTGGCAGAACCGGATCAAAAACAAAAAGGCATGGCCAGGGCCTCACTGGATGGGGATGCATGATTTCGGCACTGGATACACCAACATCTTTCCTTAGACTCTAGACTTGATCATGGTCTGTAAATTTCATATTGACTCTCATGTGTCGAACACATGGATACTTCATGTGAGCGAAAGCCAATACCGATTCCCTCTAGCAGTAAAGGCCAACAAAGACAAGGCAAATGATGAATGCAGTACCTTGACAAAAATACAGGTGGGCAATTCTTTTTCTGACAGGCAGGTGGTGCTACTTACAAAACATCCTCGGGCGCTACACAAAGCACTACTTTGCGGGCATGTTGGTTACATTGGCTAGCACTTCGGAGGCGAGGGACGACGATATCACGCGGCACCTGTGCTAATGCATATGCGCGGCAGGGTTTGACGTTTAACTATGTGCTTGAGAGTACTATAAGTGAGCGGACATGTGATAAAGATCATGAAATATCATGGAATGCACTTCGCCGCCTACGGTGGCTGTATGGAGAACCTATGGTGCGCCTACGGAAAATGCCCCTAGGAAAAACCATACAAAAGAGTCCTTTGTGTTCC